CATCAGCTAAGTAAAACAAGAGTCTGATTATTGGACCCAGATAATTATAGAAATCGTGATTGAGAACATTGCAGAATCACTCTTAATATTATAGGTACAAGAGAGATAGTACAACAACCATATTCTATAACAGCTCTATGATAAAGCCAGTTAGAAGAGTACCAGCCTCATAAGAAGTCATTATGAAGCTCCCACCGGATTGTGTACGCACCAGATGTGCAAGTATTATAGTAGAACTTCAAGTTGTGGATGCGAATTATAACTATGTGGAAGGGAGGTTATGAAAGAGATAGAAGATACGATGCGATATTTTAAGGTAAGTAAGGTAAAGGTGAAGAAGGTACGAGATACTCAAGTGTAGAAGGTTGTGAATAGTCCATACTTCAGATAGAGGGTTAGAAGCGCTGAGATTCAGTATCCAGAAATAATAGCTGTGTCGTCAATGGCATATCTTCTAGCCTATGGTTTCCAGGTACTGAGAGGTCTAGTTAAGAGAGTAAAGAAGAGTTAGAGACGATATGATGTCTCACTTGAGGTTCCAGAATAACATAAGGAAATCTATGGTGTAAGCAAGTTAAAGGAAGGTTGTGAGCAGTATAAATAGATATGTGTAGGTCGCAAGCTAAGGCATGGTAGAGCGACAAGGTTTTAGGAAGACAGGAGTAAGAATAAGAAAAGGCGAGTGAGAAAGTGACGAGAATAGGTAAATCCTCAGGATTAAGCCCATGAAAACAAGAGAGCTGATAGTTTTTGTAAGTTATAGAAAGCTCAGTATAGCCTAAATGAACTTAGAGGAGTCTAAGACTAGGAGCATTTAGAAGAGATGGAATTATGCCTTGGTAGTAAAATGAAAGTGTAATTGTGATAAATGATAAGAGAATGACATTTAGGCCTTCAATTAAGTAATGATTCATAGAGAAGGGATTTCATGAATTGTACGGGATTAGAATACCCCCCATAAGATGAACTTCGTTGGGATGCCATGAAATATAGTTATTGAAGTATAATATCGCCCCTAGGTGGATTAAGCAAATCACTTCAAATATTCCCCGATGATACGTGAGCCCTAGTGATAATGTATTACGTAAGAGGTTTCAAGTTATCACTGGTTGATTATAGATAAACATTGAGGTGAATCACCAATAGATAGATAAAAGTTCCAAAGTATGAGATAAGATTAGGTTGTCACTCTTAAGATGAACAGTAACGAGGGAGCATTAAAGGACTTAAATTTATACATATAGGATAAGCAGTAAGAGAGTAACCTGGAGTTGGGTAGTAGACCTCGGTAATAATAAACCGAAGTAAGAGTTATGGTATAGTATAACCTACCTAGTTATAGTAAAGTCATAAGCATAGATAACCGAGGCTATGAAACAAGATATATCAATAGTCGTAAGTTTGACAAAGTACAGAGCGAAGAACTTTAGTATACCTACAAATGCCCAGAGGGATAACTTGTCATAGTACTGTATATGTTCACAAAGTGAGGCCTAGAGATTGACTAAAAGCTAGAGGAAAAAGGAGAGAAGAGTCACATAGGCGCACATCAGGTCAGAGTCATACATGCTGCATGACAGAAGGTAGAAACAGTTACGAGATTGGAAGAATTCCAATCATAAGTCGTGGTGTGTGAAAAAGGCCTAAAAGGGGGAATGCCCTGGCCTTTGGATTTATTCACAGAACAATTGCCTAGATGGATGGGACAAAATTAAAGTATTCATAAGAGCTATAGGTTATGAGACTGATAAGTGCACCAGTCAACATTCGAGGACGAATGTTCCAAAGGGGGGAATGAGGTTATACCATATATTTTCATACGTAAAAGTATATCGTAAGTCAATTAATGTAAGCTCAGAAATGAGATCATCTTTGAAAGTACATAAAGTAATTTAATAATATTACTTTGGAGGTTACAAATATTAAAAATTATGGATAACAAGTACCAAGAGGGTTGGAAGGCTTAGAAGCTAAACGAATTGAAAAAAATAAGTTTCGTCGAAAGTCGATAAGTTGGGAGTGTTATAACATCTACTTTCGGGGTGAGACTAGGGTGCTTAACATGATAAGGAGATTATGTTATGTGTTATTTTAGTCGTATGATAGTCGTGTGTTATGTTTTGAAGTCAAGCGAGTTGTGGAACAAAGGTTGGCAAAGGTCATCACAAGTTACATTCATAAATGTGCTAATAATTAGGTCAAATGTAGCTGAGCTTTTCTCCCCATGTACTTTGAATTATGGAGTAATCCATCTACCAAATTGAATATCTACGAGTCTAGTTTCTAACGCATTAAACCGTTCATCGATACGACATCAGAGTAGAGAGATATTTACATTTTTGCAAGACTGCGCAAGTAGCTCCCTTGGGACCCACAAAGTCGGTGTAAAACTCCAGCTTGTATAAAAGTCAATTCTAAGTCGTTTTAACTCATTTTTCTCGACAAAAACAGTTCCTAAACCCTCCTAGATTCGCTCCAAGGGTTCCCCCCCATAATCCTAGAGAGAATCCAAAGATAAACCACCCAAGTTCCGCGTAAAGAATATTGTGGTTACCATTAACTCCCTTTCCTTCTCATTGTGACGACTTAGGAAGCTACTTGGTGTTGAAGTAGAGGGTTCTTGGTATATTTTATGTAAGTTTCATCTTCCATAACCTAATCTTAAGTTTGTACAAGTGTTAGTTGAATTGTTTTGGAGGATTCTTGAAGAAACTAGTAACTATGAAACTTGAAGCTATATTATGTGGGCTATTTTTACATGTTTTAAGATACCAAAGGGAATTGTAAAGGTATGGATATCATGGTGAGGATGAGGGGAAGTGAAGATGAAGATCACTGTGATATAACATATTGAATTATATCTATAAAAGACCCTATGAAGTTATGCACATAAGTTGTTCGATAAAATGACTAAATGTACTTCCCTATAGAATATGAAGTCGATATTGATACCAATCCTTTGTATGATATAGATTACCATTTGTAAGAGGTGTGAGGACTTGTGAAATAGTTGTAACTTCGTTGATAAGGTATGTTAAGTCTATCCATTCTTTCCTTTTGGCATGATCCATATGATACAACAAAACGAGCAAACACACAACCTTCACAAATGACTCTATTCTTAGAAGTACTAGGGTTGTCTATGTTCTTGATTCCCTATATGTCCTACTATTATATCGTCTGTTCATGGATCTCAGAAAATACGTAAATTGATAAAGTTTATTTGTGATATTAACCGAAGGTATATTAATCTTATGATATTCCTAGAGATCTTATTGATTTACTTCATTATGCATTGCATTCATTTATACATATATATTGACCCGTGACCAGATGGCGTTATATACATGTATATTATATGTATATGGGATATGGGGAAATGTTATAGAGTTATATATGCACCATCACCTGATCAGCTAGCATACGTTGATGATTTCGTCCACAGAGGCCGAGATAATATGATTGGATGCTCTTAGAGTCTTGATGATGTTATGTACGCATATACCTATGCATGATATGACATTTATATGCATATGCATGACATTATAACTGTTTCATGATTTACAGATTTATTCAGACTTACAGGTTGTGTCCTTTACTCCATGTTTCTTTCATCTCTTTTATATACTGATTTTTATGCCTTATATACTTGGTACATTATTCGTAATGATGTCCCTTTTGCTGGGGATGCTGCATTTCATGCTTGCAGGTCCTGATAGATAGTTGGATAGACCTTCCCACTAGACAGAGTCAAATATCATCTTGGCTGGTAAGCTCTACTTGCTCGGAGTTATAAGGTCTAGACCTTGGAGTCCATTTTATATATACAGGTTTGATGGGTAGGTCGAGGCCCTGTCCCGACCATGATATAGTTCAGTTATCTCTAGAGGCTTGTAGACGAGTCCTGTATATTTTGTATATTAGTATTGTGGCCTTGCCATCCTTGTGTACATGTTAGTTTGGTATTGCTGGTTGTAGACATTCATGGTGGAATTATCGGCCTTGATTGGTATTGTTAGCTCACAGGTAGTCCTCGTTGGCCTAAGTTTAGGGTTACCCCTCCAGAGTTCACAGTTACAGAGTGGTACGCTCGGGCCAAATATCGCATCGAGTGCCGGCCACGCCTCCCCAGGTTTGGGGCGTGACAAACCAATATACATCACTCAATAAACTTTGCCTTTTAACGCAAACTAGCCACAGTATATAAATGACAAAGTAATTTGAATCTTTTGTCACTTGGTTTCAGAACTACTATTTGATAATGTATGTAACTATATCAGTTATCTGCTCCACAACATTCCATTCGAGTTAGGAAGTTACACATTGACTTGTTATCAATCCGAACTATTCTCCTTTAAGTCTTTTTTCTTTAGTCAAAAGATCCACCAGGTTGGTGGGAGTTAGGACTAGCCCTAACATGTATATAAATCAAATAACAAAAGTACATGGAGAAGGACATAAACCATAGCCTCTAGAGCATGATGAACAGTGCTGCTAGACATTCCTATGCAAAAATGCAAAAGGGATGTAGCTAAGATATGGGAGGACTCCTCTATTACAATATTTGAAGAGTCAACTATAAAGCACAAAGCTAAATAGTGTAAGTGTATAACATAGTTAAGCTCCTTCATCTCAGCCATTACTAACAAAGAAGAGATTCTTCTTTGGCCTAAATCTGAAATTTGGGAAGCCATCCTGTTCTTGCTTCAAGTAAGCTCTAACTTGCCTAGGCAACGAAAGATCTTCAATGAAGACAATCTGGTTCCCGACTTTCTCACCCAAACTTTCCATTTGGCCTACAATCATATTTCCTTCCCTGAATATATGAATAAAAAGGAAGGTTCCCTTCTGTATCAACTCCCCTATTTGTGCCATGATGTTATGAATATTACATGGAGGTCTGACTTTCTTATTGATTATATTAACCAACATAAAAGAATCAGATTCAAAAGTCATTTTAAGAAAACCTGTATCAATACATATACGTAACCCTTGTAGAATTGCCATAGCTTCAGCCACATTGTTACTACAAAGACCAAAGTAATCAACAAATGCTAAAATCATATGCCCACGATGATCCCTTATTATGCCACCCCCTCTAGCACTCCTAGGATTACCCTTGCTACATCCATCTACATTCATTTTCATCCACCCCTCCTTAGGTTTGGACCATATCACTAATTGACTGTGGATAACTTGTTATAATTTCTCCACATAAGCACACTTGTCCTCCCATGTTACAGGTAAATTTAACTTAGAGAATTGACATTGTAGAATCAATGACATTAAGTGACACACCTAACAGATGATATACTTCTAGACATATATAAATTCTCAAACCTTGTTGCACATCCGTTCTTCCATATTTTCCAAAAAATTACAGATGGAAGACACTGCAATAGAATCATATGCACTTCGTTCTTTGGTATAGTCAGCCACCGCTGCATCGTCAAACTCCTAACTGATCTTGTTGTATGCCTTATGCCATATGTACCGGAGAAATAATTCCAAACCTGTCTAGCAATGTCACTATCACCAAATAGATGTGAGCTTGTCTCATGTTGATGTCTGGTACAACAACTGCATCTTGAGGGGATCATGATACCAACTCTTTGAATCCGTTCATTTGTTGAGACTTTGTTCTTTAGAAGTCTCATCATCAGAAAAGAAAAATTAAAAGGCATTCTTTTGTGCCATAAGGACTTTTCAATGAAGGTTTCACTTCTAGATGTCCTTAATTGTTGCCAAGTTGATTTTGTAGAGAAGCTACCTGAGTTTTCTAGAGTCCAGTAGGCCCAATCTTTCCTGCTCTGAGCCACTTCAACCCTTTGTATCTTGTTAACAACACTCGCAGGTAATAAAAGACTTAGCAAATCCCACCTCCACCTACCATTTGATATGATATCTTTTACTTTGATATTCATTGGAGTTGGCCTGCCATCTGTTAGCTTGGACAGTGGTCCCAAGCTAGTCCAGTTGTCCCACCAGAATGAAGAATCACCATCGCCTATTCTCCAGAGAATGAAAGGTTACACTACATCTTTGATCTCCATCATCCTTCTCCAGATATGCGACCGGCCATATCTCCACTTCTTTGACATAGAGTGACCCCTATTACAATATTTGGCAGTCAGGATTTTACTCAACAAGGAGTTATTAGTTCAGAAATTCCACCACATCTTGGCAGCAAAAGCATTACAAAATCTTGGATGGATCTAAATCCTACCCCTCATTCAGAAGTTGGGTAGCATAAATCAGACCACTTCATCCAATGAAATTTGTGTTTGTCCTCCAATTTTTCCGAGAAAAAATTAGCCACAATTTTCTCTATTTGTTTAATGATAGTTTTAGGTGGAGATAACACTGACAGCTGATGAAGAGGTAGTGCTTGCAACACAAATTTGATAAGAGTAGCTTTCCCACCATAAGAAATCATTTTTCCTTGCCAGCCTTGTAATCTTGCAGCTACCTTTGTTACCATATTGTTAAAGTACATAACATTTTTCCTTCCAACATAAATAGGACACCCAAGGTATTGCATAGGGAATTTTGAAGTTGTGACACCAGTGATTCTTCCCACCTCTGCAATTGTATCATCCAGAGAATTTGGATGCATCAAGAAACCTGACTTCTACTTATTTACCTATTATCTTGAGCATTGTTCATAGATATTCAAATTATCCATCATCATCTTCAAAGATTCTGGATCATTAGTGGAGAACCAAACAGTGTCATCCGCATAGGATGAATGAGTAATAATAGGCCCTTTCCTATCAACAACATAAGGAATAAATCCATCATTTACTAAATTGTCCATCAATCTTGAAAGAAGTTCAGCTCCTGTGTCAAATAATGAGGGTGATAAAGGGTCCCCCTGCTTGATTCCTCTGATTGACTTAAAGAAACCATATCTGCCCCCATTTATGTTCACTGAGTACCATACATTTGAGAGGGTCCTCCATACACTGTCTATCCATAGTTCATTGAATCCAAGTTGTCTAAGTACTTGGCATAGATACTCTCATTCAACTCTGTCATAAGCCTTTGTCATGTCAAGCCTTCAGTACAACATTTCCATGCTGCTTAGTTTTTCTGATGCTATGTACCATCTCCTGAGTCATTATAATATTTTCTGTGATTGATCGCCCTTTAACAAAGCATGTTTGGTTAGGAAAGATCAGCTTCTGCATCAATGGGGCCATTCTTTGATTCAACAACTTTGAGATGATCTTGCAGGTGAAGTTACTCAGACTTATTGGTCTGAGTTCACTAAACTGTTGTGGGCACCCTACCTTAGGTACGAGTACAAGGCATGTATGTGTGAATGCCTTTGGTAATTCAGTACCTGTAAAAAAATCAAGTATCATTAGTAAAAGATCATTCTTGATGATCTCCCAACAAGAATGATAGAACTTTCTAGACATTCCATCAGTCCCTGGTGCACTGTGGCTGCTCATCGACATCATCACCACCTCCCTTATTTTGTCTATCGTAGGGATAGAATTCAGTGCCAAATTCTCTTCACTCCCTATAATCTTTAGTAGTAGGTTCACTGGTAATAGGTCTCTATTCTGTATTTCCTGAGAAAATTGTTTCTGAAAAAATTCCATAGCTTCATTGGCTATGTATTCCTCTCCTTCGATCTAGTTGACACCCCCCTTCCTTATTTTCTTAAGAGAAAGTTGTAACGACCCGACTTGTCATTTTAAGAATTTACGTTCCATTCAGTGACTTAAGGTCCCGAGCAATTTCTTAATATGTATTATGACCCGGGTGTAGGGTCGAGTTTGGTTTTCGGAAGATTCAGAATTTAATTGAAAGAACAATTCTCATTTATAAAGCGTGAATTTCTAAAGTTTGACCGGAGATTTGACTTTTGAGCAAACGACTCCGGAATGGAATTTTGATGATTCCAATAGCTTCGTATGGTGATTTCGGACTTAGGAGCATGTCCGGATTTGGATTTGAAAGTCAGTACGATAATTCGGCATATTTTGGCAAAAGTTGAAAAATAGAAGATTTTTGGAAAGTTTGACCGGGAGTTAACATTATTGATATCAGGGTAGGAATTCAATTATGGAAATTGGAACATCTCAATTATGTCATTTATGACATGCATAAAAAATTTAAAATTATTCCGGATTGATTTGATACGTTTCGGCACAAGATATAGAATTTAAAAATTTTCATAAACTCATAAGTTCGATTCGAGGTGCGATTCGTTGTTTCAGTATTGTTTAATGTGATTTGAGGCCTCGACTAAATCCGTAATATGTTTTGAGACTTGTTGGTTTGTTCGGACGGGTCCCGAGTGGCTCGGGTGAGTTTCAGAGTGGTTTCGGACCATTTCTAGGCCATTTTTAACTGCTGGTTTTTGGCTACAAAGTATGCATCGCAAAAATTTCTACTGCACATGGCTGACTTTGGGAGCTTATATCTCGCCATCTATAAGGAATTGGGAGATGAGCAAAACATGAAAGTTGTAACCCTTGGTGTCTAGTTTCCAGAAAGTTAAATCATTTATCATTCGGAGACAACTATTTTTCTGGGGCTGAGGAAAATCGCAGGTGTCAAATACGATTTATAAGTCTCAAATGTCAAATGCGACTTGCCTGGACAAATTCTAAAAACGGGGGTTTCAGCCATTTTAACATATTTAGAGCTATGGAGCTCGGATTGAAGCGATGTTTGAGGCAATTTTTACCATATAGATTGGGATAAATATTCTATATCCAAAAGTGATTATACTTCATGATTCCATGGTTATTTTCATCAATTATTAGTGAATCAGATGGAAGAAATTGGAGGAATTTGTAAAACTCTTCAAGAACGAAAATTTAAGATTCGTAGGTCGAGTTGTTATCGGAATTTGATAAAATTAGTATGGTTGAACTCGTATCGGAATGGGCATTCGAATTTGTAAAAATTTTGTCGGGTTCCGAGAGGCGGCCCCCGCGTTGAATTTTGGTTGACTTTTTAATGTGAATTTTTAAGTCGACGTTTTATTAACCGGAATTATTTTCGATGAATTTTAATGAAGTTATACAATTAATTTGGATAGATTTAAAGTGTCCGGAGGTCAATTCAAGCAAGAAGGTTATTTTGGAATATCGGCCTAACTTCAAAAAAGTAAGTATTCTGCCTAACCTTGAGTGGAGGAATTACCCCTTAAGCATTGAGTCGTATGTGCCAGTTGGTGTAATGTGAAAGCCGTGTACGCAAGGTGACGAGTACGTACTCGGGCTTATATGTGCAAATTATATTATTTTAAATTTGTAGGAATTTTTAAGTATTAAATTAGAAATTTCTGGCACTTATTAAATCCTTATTTGTCATGCCTCGTTCTTTGTTGTCGAATTTATTTTATATGATAATTTGGTGTTATTGCTACTTTGATTTTTATGTGAATTCAGTGTGCTTGTTGAGTTGACATTTTCTGGAAATAATTACATTATGGTTTTTCCATCTGCAAATAGTTAATTTAATAAGTTTAAATGGAGACGTTAATATATTTATCAGAAATTTGGATTTAAGAAGAGGCTGTTGTTGTTGAGTTATTCTTCCGTCTTTACTGTTGCATATTTACTTTTGGGACTATGAGGCGGTACCTCGGGAGATCCCCCTGTTTGCATATTTACTTTTGGGACTATGAGGCGGTACCTCGGGAGATCCCCCTGTTTGCATATTTACTTTTGGAACTACGAGGCGGTTCCTCGGGAGATCCCCTGTTTGCATATTTACTTTTTGGACTACGAGGCGGTTTCTCGGAAGATCCCCTGTTGCGTATTTACTTTTGGGACTTCGAGGCTGTACCTCGGGAGCACCCCTATTGTTTACCTCTATTTGCCGTGTTGTTGTCTTTCTGTAAATTCTTATTTGTTCGCTTATCAGTCATTTCATTATATTATTTAGTCTTATGTTTTGTGAATTGTTCGTGCAGTTGTGATAGAGATATGGGCACGGGGTGCCGTGAAAATATGTAAGTGGGCTGAGACCCATAATTTTTATGAATATGAAATGAGGTATCACATTGTGACTTTTACTTGAAAAGAATTAAATTCGAAAGATTTTATTTGAAGAATTTTATTCGAAAGTTATTTATTTGAAAGAATTATATTCGAAAGATTTTATTTGAAGAATTTTATTCAAAAACTATTTAATTGAAAGGATTATATTCGAAAGATTTTATTTGAAGAATTTTATTCAAAAACTATTTAATTGAAAGGATTATATTCGAAAGATCTTATTTGAAGAATTATATTCGAAAATTATTTATTTGAAAAAATTATATTCGAAAGAATTTATTTGAAGAATTTTATTCAAAAGTTATTTAATTGCAAGAATTATATTCTAAAGATTTTATTTGAAGAATTTTATTCAAAAGTTATTTAATTGCAAGAATTATATTCTAAAGATTTTATTTGAAGAACCATATTCGAAAGTTATTTATTTGAAGGAATTGTATTCGTAAGATATTTATTTGAAAGGATCATATTCTAAAGATTTCTATTCAAAAAATTTGTAGATAAAAGATGTATATTTTGAAGGACTTGATTTATTGGCTGTGCTAGTGTTCATTATTTGTTTGGGCAATATTTGTGGTGTTCTTGTTGCCTTGCTGCTTATATCAGTAGTTGATTATTATTGCCATCATTGTTGTTTGTCTTTCGTTTAATTTTGTATGCTAAAATGCACAGGTTATTTGACTATACCTCGTCACTACTCCACCGAGGTTAGTCTTGATACTTACTGGGTACCGACTGTGGTGTACTCATACTACACTTATGCACATTTTTGTGCAGATCCAGGTATTGGAGATATCGGACTTGGACAGAGTTAGTGTGTTGATCGCAAGGATTCAAGGTAGAGCTGCTTGGCCACCGCAGTCCCTTGGATTCTTTCCATTTTTATTGTATTGTCAACTCTTATTCGACCAAGTATTGTATACTTGATCCTTGATATCATTGCATGTATTCAGTTAGAGTTCGTGACTCAGTATTATCAGTTTTGGAAGATTTTTATATTTT